ATGGAAAATGAAATATATAACAGTCTATAACCTGGTGTATTATATAAATTATTATTTATCAAAATGCTAAACAGTATTTACATGGCAGACCAATCACTCCCTAGACTGTAGTAATACAGGCATATATTTTTTTAAAAGAGATCTTATTTTTATAGCACAAAGACAGGAATCTAAAAACAAACTCTAAAGGGAAGAAATTGAATAGATTGTGTCTTCTCCTTCTGAGATGTTATCTTTAATTTTGTATTAATCCATATGAAGTACAATGTATAGTATCTTGTACTATGAAGGTGTCACAAAATGATGCAGATGTTCTTACTCAAAAAAATTATGAGAGGAAAATACTGCACAACAGCATAGCCATTTCAAATATGTTAATAAGGAAGGGATTTATCGTTAGTTTGCCATCTGCCCAGACTAAGGGGCATTGGATTATTGTTCCGCACCTGGAGCAGACTCAGGGAGTCACAATCAATCTCCCACCCCAGTTTCCCTGCTGCTTTAGGGAGAGAATAAGCTGTGCTGCTGTAACGCCAACAGACCCCGGTCATCAGGAGCTTAGTGCATGAGTCTACAGCATGAGCTAAAAGCCAACTTCCTGTTAGCTAAGGCTGTAGAGCAGACTCATTTTATCTCTCTCTTTAAGTGGTCTCCGTGCCACCAGATGGGACAGAACACCACACCCAGAAGGTGTGTGGGTTACAGTGGGTCTATACCCAGTGCACCATATGGGAGGTAGGCAGGGCAAGCCACAGTCTGGGGGTAACCATTTTAAATTGCTTTAAAAAAAAAAGAAGAAGAAGAAAGGGCCTAAAGGTAGTATGGATAATGAATGGCCTCCAGGTAAACGCACACTTCAAAAACAGACTCCAATGAGAAACTGCTGAACTTGAATTAATATGCAAATTAGACACCATCAAGTTAGGCTTGAATAAAGACTGGGAATGGCTGAGCCATTACACACGTTGAATCTCTTTCCCCATGTTAAGTATTCTCACACCTCTTGTCAAACTGTCTGTAATGGGCTATCTTGATTATCACTACAAAAGTTTTTTCTCTTAATTAATTAGCTTCTTAGAATTGGTAGGACAACTCCCACCTTTTCATGTTCTCTGTATGTGTATATATCTCTCCTTACTATATGTTCCATTCTA